CTTCTCCCTCTTCCCCACTTGTGTTCCTTCTCTCACTGTGTCTCTCTGTCAAATAAATGAATAAAATCTTTAAAAAAAAGAAAAAAAAAGAAAAATCGGGGCTGGAGTAGGGAGGAGGGGTGGACCCGGTGGGCAATGGGAAGGCTCTGCCCGGATCCCTCCCCTCCTGGCTTCCTCTCAGGGCTCGAGCTGGCTGAGGGGGGTGCAGGCAGAATCGCTGGACTAGTCGTTTTGTTCTGATTTTCTGAATGCATTGACTTACTTCAGAGCGCGATTTTTCAAGCAGGAATAATTTTACCTGCGGGGGACACCTGGCAATGTCTGGAGGTATTTTTGGTTGTCACAGCTGTGGGGATGTGACTGGCATCTAGTGGGTAGAGACCAGGGACGCTGCTAAACATCTTCCAGTGCACGGGGCCGCCCCACACAACAGGATTTTCCAGCCTCTAATATCAGTAGCACCAAGGCTGTGAAACCCTGATTGAGAGGAAGGTAAAGGCAACCCCGTGACGCGGTGCCCTGAACATTTTTGCTATTTGTTGGCTCACTTTGAGCATCCTAATTTGTGTAGAAATTTGAACCTGCCATAGTTTCTAGTGAGCTGTGTTTTCTGCCTTTGATTAAACAGTTCGGTTTTTCATTTGGATAAGTAAGTAGCTTTGTTGGAAAATGATGGGTCATGTTGTCTTCATGCTACTTGAGTAATTAAGTATCTTACAAGTTTTTGTTGTTGCAAAAACTAGTCAGTTTTAAAAAATATTAACAAATTATTTTTGCCTCTGCAGAATCTGTTTATGGGATCTGAAAAAGGTGAGTTTTTGTTGTTGTTACTGTCTCAATGGGGAATTCTCCCATAACCTTTAGATAATTTCACAAAGGAAAAAAGTTTGTGGTATCTGGTCTGGTGTTTAATTCCATTAAAGCTGTTCTTTCCTAGATTATGTACAGACTTAGTAGAATTGAAATACATATTTATGTGATTAGTGGGGGAAAAAAAAGACCAAAGGAGTTTCTAAGAGTAAAACATTAGCTCACTGTCTGATTTTAGTTACAGCGGTAGTAGTCTCCTCTCTGAGTACCTCCTCACTAGCTGGAGAGTAGTTAAAATTCTCCTTTTTAGAGATCCATTACTTTGCCTTAAGTCTTTACCCACCCCTTGTGAGAAGGCAGATACGCTGGGGACAAGAGTCGCGGTCTTATTGACGACTGGTCCGTGAACACTGCGGTCCTCAGTTTCTTCTGCCAGGACACATGGTCAGAAGCTCTGGACCAGCGCACCTCAAACTAGCTGTGCAGCGGGCTCACCTGAGCAACTTTCGTACACACACACACCACGGGGCCCCACTCCACTTGTTGAATTTACCTTGAGGAGTGGGACCCAGGTATTGCTTTTTATTTATTATTTATTTGAGAGAGTGCGGGGGCGGGGAGGGGCAGAGGGAGAGGGAAAGAGAGTCCTAAGCAGACTCCATGCTGAGTTCGGAGCCCAATGCGGGGCTCATTGTCACGATCCTGCGATCACAACCTGAGCCAAAACCAAGAATTGGATGCTTAACCGATTGTGCCACCAGGACACCCCTGCAGAGTGCTTTTTTGGAGCTCGCAGGTGATTCTAAGGTGAGCACAGCTGCGGTTTGGGTACAGATCACTAGTACTGCAGTTGCAACTCTCCCTCGTTCTCTGCCGGTGGGAGCAACACTTCAGAAATGAGGAGAGTGGGAGCACCTTTGTTAGGGCCGTAACTTTGACCCTAATCCATGAAAAAATAAATCCGACTGTTGCAAATCTACCAGTTTGGAAAGATCAGAAAGATTGACGAGATGACTTGCTGGCGAGAACGTATAGGCGGGCACTCTCGTGCTGCCAGTGGGAGTGTAAAGTGATAAAGCACTGTGTAAAGCACTTCTGTGGTTATCTATTAAAATTGAAGTTGGGCCAACCCTTTGACCCAGCAGTTCTATTAGGATACGCTCTAGATCAGAAATTGGCAAACGGCCTCCTGCAGGCCAGATCTGGCCCTCTGTTTAAGCTTGTAAATAAAGTTTTATTGGAACACAGCCATGCCAGGTTGTTTACATATTGTCTGTAGCTGCTTTGGGGCTGGAATGGCAGAGTTGAGTACCTGTGACAGAGACTATATAACTCACAAAACCTAAAATATTTATATCTGGCCCTTTACAGAAAGCGTTTTCCACCTCTACCCAAGTTCATGTTTTTCTTAAAGTGCGGTCCAAGGGCCGGTAGCGTTGATATCACCTAGGAGTCATTAGAAAGGCAGAGTCTCAGGCCCTGCCAGGCCTACTGAAAATCCGAGTTGCATGCTAACCCATCTGTAAGTGATTCCTGTAAAAGTCTGAGAAGGCGCTGCCCTGAAGAAATGTGTGTCTATGAACCAGGGACATAGAAATGTTCACAGCAGCATTGTTCATGGTAGCCCCAAACAGGAAACAACGCAAACATCCGTCAACAGTAGAATAAGAAATACATTGTGGTGTATTCACATGGTGGAAAATAGTAAACAGCAGGGAAACAGTTCTGTGTAACAACGGGTAAATTTCATCAACTAAAGATAATGGTGAACAGGAAGCAAGACCGTATCTGGGCTGGGTGGTGGTCACAAGGTTTTATAATTATCCATTAAAATGTACATGTGTGCACTTTACGTATTATATTTCAAAGTGAAGGGAACAATAGAAACGAAGTAAAAAGAAAAACAAAAACAAACATTATTTGGAAACTTAAGGAGTCATTTGTTAGTAATTAAATAACTGTACCGTGCTCTCAGCCTGATCCCAAACAAATCTTTGAGCTAACACCAGACTGAAGTAGCCAGTGCCTTCCAGGAATGAACTTCTGATCCTGAGAATGAGTTTGGGGGGGAGGAGCAGGGGGACGTCATATCTAGAACAGAAGCCCCTTGCAGATGGGGAAAGATTTCTGAGATGAGGAGTGCTGGAGAGCCAGCTGGACAGACAGCCTCACCCTGCGGCTGGCCCACGGCCGGAGGGCGTCCCTTGGTCTCTGTCCCACCAGCCCGTGGATGGGATGGCAAGAATCGGCCAACAGGTGATGATAGGAGGCGTGGCTAGCCCTGTTTGCCCGAAGAGTGGGTATCAGAGTGTGACAGTCCCGCACTGAGGCCAAGCCTGAGAGGGCCTTTTGTTGGTGGAAGACAATGGCATGATGGATTTTTGGCGTCCTTCCCTGGTCTGCCTTTCTTTAGAAAACAAATGATTCAGTGAAAAGTTTATAAATACCGAATGGAGTGTGGAACCATTTCGAGGCTGGCCCGCTGAGCTCTGGGGGCAGCTTCTGAGCGAAAATGTTTGCAGTGGAACTTTGGTTATATAAGGACGTGGTTTTCAAACTCTCAGAGTTGTCTGTAATGAAGTTGTTCCCTGACCCCCTTATTCACATTGAGGTGGAGAGTGAGAGATGCCTTCCCTTGGGGGTGTTGGGGACGGAGAAAGCCACCTGTGTGACATGAATCCATTCTGTTTAGGCAAAGCGGGGACCGTCACATCCGCCATGTCGGAGAAGGTTCGGACCAGGCTAGAGGAGCTGGATGACTTTGAGGAGGTGAGTGAGCAAGTTGTTGGCCGAGCACGGGGAGGATCGGCGCTTTTGTTTCTCCTGCCAAGTGAGATGCGTTTTGGGGGTAATTCCCAAGCCGCGCATTGTGCTCGTTCCTCCCGAGGCACCAGCCGATCCAGGGGAAATGGCCAACGGTGCAGTTGGCTGACCGCGCAGGAACTGCCTTGGGCTGGTTTTCTGAAGGCGTCTTGTCGCTGTGATGCCCCAGCAGACCCAGGTCGTGTGGGACAGGGTCTATACGGAAAAGCCAGCTGGAGCCACCTCCCTGGGAAGCGCCTTGCACAGGAAAAAGATCATACCTGGTGCAGAGGCCTCTGCTGACTTGCTGTGGCTCACGAATCTTTCAGAAAACCTGCTTTTAGAGAACACGACTCATTTGCAAACTCTTAAGACTTGATGAATTTCACATGTAAATCTAGTTTTTTGTTTTTGTTTTTAATTCCACCTGATAACTGAGGGTCCACATTCCTGCATTTAACCAGGGCATGCGCCGTCCAGGTTATACAGTCCTTCCTGTCCCGATTCTCTTATGAACACTACAGGCCTAGCCCCTGGAGGCAGGGGAGTTTGCGTCCCCTGGGATGTCATTTAGAGAGGCCACCTAGCGTCCTGAGTAAGAGACTCGGGAGCCAGACTGCCTGAGTTTGAATCTCGGCTCTACCGTTCGGCAATTCCAGGATTTGGGGCAAGGGGCTTAACAGCTCTGTGCCTCAGTTTGCTTATCTGTAAAATGGGGGATGCTGTATCGTACTTGCCTCTTTGGGTTGTTTGAGGAATGAAATAAGTTAATGCATATGAAGTGCTTGGACCAACAGCCAGTGCATTTTGTGTGTTCTTGTTAGTTGCTGTCAGCACCGGCTTAACCTGAGTCTGGAGGCCTTACCTAGCTCAACTGCCGATGAGCAGAGTGCCCTTGGGTGTTCCCTTTCCCTATATCTGCATCCCTAACTAGAACATGGGCATGAAGAGTATAGTTGTGTGGACCCAATGGTAATGCTTTGAAATCCACAAAGGGCCTTGTGATGGCAGGTGCCATCGCCCTGTCCTGCATCTTGCCCCTCAGTTCAGGGTCCTTCCAGCTCTGAGACCAGAGCTTTTGGGTGCTCAGCAAAGTCTGTTCGCTCACCCTCTTATTTCCCAATTCAGAAAGGACACGTTTTGAATTAGGGTGCCCGGGAGCCTCGGTCTGCATGTCCTCAGCCAACCTTGGCTAGCAGGAGAGGAATTGCTGAGCATTTGCATCGAAGCTCTTCAATCCAGGTGTCACCTGAGCTGGCTTCAGTTGCAAATGGGGACTCTGTTGAAGGATACAAGGCCACTACCTGAGCCCAAGGGCATGGTGGCCTGGAACCAGGAGTTAAAGAATCACCCAGACACCTAGCCAGCCACCCTCTGCCTTTCTCGGTTCTCTGTAGCATCCTGTCACTGACTCTATACTTGTTGTGTTGTTCCCCCCCCCCCCCCCCCCC